CTTTGCTCAGCTTACCACTAGATCCTTTAACAAAATGCAAGGTAAGATGAAAGCTATATGGACCTGGATAATAAGCACTTTTAACCATCATTAACTCAAGTCCAGTTAAATCATTTCTTTGGTCCCCAGTCTCATGGTGTATCCATATATCTTTCCAAAGACATAAAAATGGGGACTGCTACAGACTGCTACAAAAGAACTGCTACATTCCTAACCAAATCAGCAGGGACATTAAGTCCTGAATTTCAGAAATCATTGCATACATCAGTACTTAAGGACCCATCTTTCAAGAAGCTATTAATCTTTTATATTAATATTACTACTACACAAATTTCCATATAATCAAATGTGAATCAAAGCATATTATGAATGACGAAACACAATCTTATGCACATAAGCTGTAGCATCCTTCACAACAGCAAGGTTTAGCTGCTGTTCTAAGTAAATCACAGTACATCTTCAAGATTATTTTACTGCTTTATCTCTAACCCTGGTGCTGATGGGATGGAAAATAACCACACGCTAATGAAAGGTTTACAACCCAAACAACATTTTCTTGCAGTGACTAAGAAGTCACCATCTGATGGCATGACTTTAACAGGTGCAACCAGCAGCTGACAGGCTAATACATATATAGCACAAATGAATAAAGTGCAATGGGATGAACAAATAAGGAGCTGTAAAATGCATCTTTTACATGCGTTGTTTATACTAGTACAAAGTAGCAGTGTTAAACTTTCATTTAATAATAGCTATTTACACTGAAACTGTCAGAAACAAAGCCAATAGAAAAAACGGTCATCAGTATAAGATGAGAACGTGTAATAATGCATGTACTGCTTTCTGATGAGGCTTGAAAGAGCAACTGTTCTGGTCTGAAAGGTGCAGAGCAAAGGGTGCTGCTTGCCAGCAGCATACAGTGCAATCCTAGCCTAGGAGAAGACTAAGTATAAAAACAGTCCAATTTCAACAATAATGGAGGGTGATCAGTTCTGAATCTTTGGACCCTCCCTCCCAACAAAATGTTGGCTGTAGATAGGGATATCTGCCATAACACACACACCCCTTTTGGAAAAGCAATGACCCTGTGCATCAAAGGCAAACCTGCTGAAGAAGTGTCCAATATTTTTAAGACCCCACTGTGAGAGATGCTCACTCCCTCTCCATTGCTGTCTTTGTACTTACAGTTTTCATTTCCATCTATTCAGTTCCATGAGCCAAGAAATCTCTTGACAATATTTTGCTTTAAGAGTTGGACAACAGTGGAATCTGCAGAAGGGTTTCTACAGGTGATGGACCATACTTCATGAATCAGAGGGCTAAAGTTATAGTGTTCCCATATATGAGTCTTTCCATCTCCCACTCATCTACTAGATAACTTCTGCCACTGCCAAACTTCATTTTTGGTACCTTTTATAGCATCTAAGTTGCACCCCCCTGAAACCAGCTTTATGTTCAGAATTGAGCCAAGAATAAGAACAGGAAAAGATTTAACATAAAATAGAAAAGAATTGTAAGTGTAATTTAAAAAGCAAGAGAGCCTAGAGCATATACTAACTTGAATCCATGTTGGACAATCTTCTTTTATTTTGGAGACCTACATGTGCTGGATGTCAATCCCAATCCAACTTTCAGCTGAGCTGAATTAAAAGAATTTTACAATCTTTTGTGAAACAACAAGCCATAAGGCAGTCCAAATGATCGCTGATTTGACATTGAACTTACAAACACACAGCCAAAGGCCTGATCCTGCCAATAGATCTGCAGAGGTGAAGCTCTGACTTCTAGTCATGCTTATTAGTGAAAAGACATGGCTACATATAAACTATTTTGACAAATAATGTAGGAAAGACAAGTTGTCCTCAAATTAGAAGCAAAATTCCCCCAAATATTCCTAAGGCTACTATTTTATCCATCACCTTTCAGTATCTTTCTCCACAGCAAAACACAGTCCCATAAATATTGATTTTCTTAAGAAGTGGGACAAAATATTTCGAACTTTCTCCATGAAGTTTGCCTTTGTGTACAGAGGTCTTTTATAATATAAATTTAAATACAAAATCTTTCTTACAACATTTTCCATCATCTCTCCTCTCCATATGTTCTCCCACTAGGAATCTAATGAGTTCTGCATGTGAGGGATGACAAGGGAATATGTCTGAGAAATAATTCGAGCAATTATGGCATATGGAGGCATTGTTTTTGAGTCACTTTTGCCATGAACATTAGGCAGAGCATCTGGGACCAAATTCTGTCTACCTGCCCATGGACATTAGCAAAATCATCATCTTCCATTTGTAAATTCTGCTGAGATAATCCGCCATACAGAGAGGACCATTCCATCAGCCTTATGATCACAGAGCATATTGAAACACAGATCATTTATAATTACGAAAAAATGCTTCTGTTCACACAGAATAGTGTAAATTGGAAAGAAGTTTAAGAGCTAATGATAGAGACACATCATCTCTCCATCTTCTTCTCAAGATGTACTACAGAGAGTCCTTGTTCAGTTCCAGGACACTATTTATAGAAGAAACTTATTTTTTTCTATTACTTAGTTTGGTAAAAACTGACTGGATCCCAGCTCAAGAGAAAACGGCCAAAGAAAAAAGAAAGGTAAAGAGTTTAAAACTCTAAATCAGTAATATGAAGGGTTGGTTATATTTTGTATATATATTTGTATATATACAAATTTTCTATATATTTGTATAAATACAAATATTGGCAAATGAGGAACAAGGGGAGAAAATCTATTATATGAAAACAGAGTGACTAAAATGACTACAATATATAGTGGGAATTCTGGTTATGAGGACATAAGACTGAATAATATAATTCCTTTTCTTTGTCATATTTCATTTTGCAGTAAAGAGAAAAACATCAAAAGATTCAACTGATACATTGATATTTGAGTAGATTGCAACTCCACTTCCTTATCTTATTCAATAAACATGCCTCAACAAAACAAGTTCTCCCAGTTGCAAGAGTCTAGGCAGAGCTGTAGGTCACAGATTACAGAGACTCTGGGGTGTCTCAGCGCTGGAGAGAAAATAAAATGGTACTGCTTGTACTTGGGCTTAAACAGAATTTTATAGTTATGGCTATAAACATAATTCACAGACCTAATATAGAACTTTTATAGTTAGGGCTACATATAGGAAATAATATTTCTATTGCACAAACTATTTCTTGAAGTTTGTTTATAAGGCAATAAACTGGCTTTCAGCTATTTTCAAGTCCCTCAGTCATGGCTAATATTGATCTGAATATTTAATGAAGAAAATCTATTATCAAGAAATAACTGGATTTCATTTCTCCCTACATTACCTAATAGCATTGTCTGTACAGTAGCAAGGAGGGACTGTAATTAAAGGGAAATTCTTTCACCATTAACCCAAATAATGTCAGATACTTGTACTTTAGTGATCTTGCTCCTTCAGGACTTTCCTTGAAAAATCACCAAAGCATTTTGCTGTTTCTGCCATATGGCTTTGAAGGAAATCCCAGGGACATGAAAAAGATCTTTCCACCAATATCCCTAGAGAACAGGTCTTAAGATCTGTTGTCATCAGCACACACATCCCAGTCTTAGATTTCTGTGCTGTATCCCAGCAATTTCACCTTTTATCACAACCATATAAAAAGCTCAGATTAAAAAAAGAAGATAGATAACAAATAGCCAAGAAGGATTTTTTTTCTCAAATATTTGGCATGATAAAGCATTAAGCAGAAAGTTTTGTGACATCTTATACAAGCAATATCAAGGATGCAAGTTGAGAATGTTTTCAAAGGCTATAAAAGAAAAAACAGAAAACTATCCCAAGATAAGAACTGCCTTGTAAAGACTAACATAGAGATTAACTAATGTCCAGTGCAGCATTTAAAACCACTAAAATCATGAAAAACCATTTAATGCAATCAGATTGTTCAGCTGTGACATGTTTGATACAGAGCTTTCCTGGCAAAAAGAAACTAGAGACTAAGGCAAGCCTTCTTCTACAAATAAAAACTGAGCTCCTTTCTCTTACTAGCATCTTGATTAACAGCAAGTGTGTCAAAACTCCAGGTGTGAAAGAAGAGGCAGTAAATTAAGAGAAATGTTTTAATGAAGTCTTAAAGCAAAGAGAACTACAGACTGGGACTCTGTTTTCTCCTGTAATTCAGAGCTTCTGAAGATTAGTAATATCAAAAGGTAATATGATTTCCCTCTGATAATAATGCCTGGTCATCCTTGTAATCAGATGAAACAGGGTGCATCACAAGATATAGGAATGAATATATAAGGAAAAAAGCAGTTGAAGCAGGATTCATCTCCACATGTCTACAACATGAATGTCCATAACTGACCTAGTCATCTGTACTCTGTTTTCAAAGGCAGTAGTAAAAAGGGCACTATGGAGAGAGCTGAACTATGGTTTCCATCTATATCCCTTATAGAAATTCAACATATTAAACTGAAATGTCACCATTTCAAGAATGTCTACAACATTCAGTAAACAGATCTAAAACAGATATTTTCAGGACTCTCATTCTGTGAAGAAGAACAAGATTTTCATTCAGCCTCATCTAAGAACACTATGAATGCCCAACAGAATTTCCCAAGGCAATGCTAGAAGAGTTGTGATAAACATCATTTTCTCTTTTTTTTTTTTTTTTTGGAAAAGAACCTCTCAAAACGGTCAAAGATATTCCCAGTTCTGCTGAAGAAATACAAAATTATTATAACCTTTGTGATTCTTGTTCATTGAAGAAAAATTCTTTTTTTTTTTACCCCATAGGTAAGTAGAATACAATTTTCAAAGCACACATTCATACATGGGACTCTATTTTATATCACAATTTTATTCACTTGTTATGAATATTCACAACATTAATCTACTGCTGATAATCTATTCAGTATATTTGAAAATCCATTTATTTTCACTTATTGATATGCATGTGTTACACTTGTATATAATACAGTTTTCGTAGTGTTAGTTTAAGAATCAAAAAAAAAAAAAAAATGAGAAGCATGATGCAGATTTTTGACCAAAGAGAGGCCATGTTCAGATTTTATAAAATAGCATATTTGTACTTTGCACTGTCCCAAAGAAATAACTTTTTTAAGATGCTAGCATGTCTCATCTGTTAGCACAAATCCATACAATATTGTTCCATCTTAAAATACTGAGATACCTTGTAGCTGCTACAAACAGTTTATCCTAATGAAATTTTAATCAGAAAAGAATATCTTTCTCTGCCAACATCTTTGATTATTCCTCAGCAAAATGGTAAAATACACATGTCATTTTTATTTCCAACAATCATTTATTTTAAACTCTCCTGTGCAAGAATACAGCAGAGGTAATGAAATGGTTTTGGAGCAGCAGGGGACAGAGACAGACAGACAGGCAGTCTGTGACAGACAGAGAACTCCAGGGTGTTCATCCTTTATGGAGTTTAATTTATAACTACCTAGCCATGTCGACAGCTTGTAATGATAAAAAGGTTTCCCTCTTTTGCTGAGTCTGGTATCCACATAGGATATTTAAGTAAGTTTACCTCTATATAGTTTTTGACTACCCTCAAGTATGTGTGGTTTTCATTGCAGTGCACCAAAGCAAACAGAACTCTCTCACCCTCTCCAGGCATGATGCTTATGCAGTGTCACTAAAAGGAATTGCCAGCTCTCTGTTGTATCAATATTACAGATGGTACAATATACATTAAATGGACTATAAAATTATACATTCTGTAATAACTTAGAAAAAAAGCTCATAGATGCTTAAGGCCTTTAAATATTGAGGATTCTTTTCATGGAACAGCACATCACAAAGTTTTAAAAATTGCTACTGAAATAGAAAATAAAAAGTAAATGTTGTCATGAGATAATTATTTTGGCAAGGATCAGGAGATCTGAATTGAACGACTGTAAGTGCTTTTCTCTTATAGCAAACAAAGTGAGCAGACCTACATAAGCATCCAACAGTACTTGAGTTCAAGCAAGAGATTTTATTTTTAATAAAAAAAAATCTGAATGAGTACCATCCAATTTCAGAATTGCAAAACTTATATACATCCCTGCCTACCTTTTTAAAAAGAGATTAAAATAGTATCATTGACTGCTTACTATGAATTTCAAAGAATCAAAGGTCAGGAGAATAAAATATATAGCAGGAACACATATCTCCTTCAAATTAAATGGAAATGTATATCTTAAAGGTATAAAATGCCTTATAATCAAAGTGGTAATTGAGATTTGACTACTACCTTTTTAACTGCCAAAGAGCTGCAGTAGTCGGTTAGCCTTAGGAAAACATGTCAACCTGACTATACATTCTAACATGAATGATGTATTCAGATAACTATTACTTGTCAACAATAATTATTAACAATGGATATATATTTCCATTCCTATAACAAAGTATCTTCAAGAAGTTGAAATATGTACCTTTCAGAGCTCCAAGATTAGAATACAAATAAAAATGCCTAGAACTGCGCCATGCCAGAGGACAATTTCTGCAACAGAAACTTAATTAAAGTAGTGTGCAGTTCACCAGCATTCTAAATGCTGGACCAGGGTTCATTTTAGAGAGAAGGAACCAGTACATTTTGGAGAGTGATGTCATGAAGATGAAAAGCCATCAGTCTGGAATGGAGAATCTGAAAGGCTGCTGCTTTTTTGCACCTCTTGCAATACAGCTGCAAATTCCTCCGCAAGTGCAATTTTACAAGTGTACACATTTCAATCAGTTGAAATCTTTGTGACATAGAAGTTCAAAATAACTTTCCAGTGTTTTTGATCTTGAGGCTGTTGCTGATCACATGCCAGGTTCTCACTGATACAATTGATTCTGAAGGATACACCCCAGCAGTATAAAATTTCACTTCAAGGACTGCATGGAGGAATGAAATTCCTGGGTGACGTGTTTAATGTTACCAGCCTCAAGGTTGACTTGATTTGTCTTTAGCTATCGGGTTACCTGTAAAGAAAAAGCAAAACAGAAAATCAAAATTCTACATAGAGGACCTGTTCTCAAAGTACTGGAAATTGAGATTGAAATATAAGAGCTCTGTCCAGCAAAGTTCTTTCATGTGTTTTTAAGTAAGATAAAAATACTTAATGGTATTAAATGGGGTTGCTCCCCAGCTTAGACTGTGTGTTGAAGTGCTTTGTTGGAATGAGATCTGACAAGAAGAAACTGAAATATGACTATGCTTAAAAAATTCATGAGAAAAATCTAAAGGTCACAGGTTACCAGTCAACAAAAGCTAAAAATACTAGTTTCAAGAAAACCGTCTGTATTATGTTCATTTTTCTGTGTTGAAACATCTGTATCTTAACAACTATGCTTTTAAATTGTTAGCAATTGAATTTTAATATTGACTGTAACTGGAGATATATTCTTCTCTTTTTGCATGCTACTTTAAAATGCAATGTCCTGTTAAAGGCTACATACATTTCAGCAAGCAATAATCACTTAGTGAGGAAACAGGACAAAAAGCATGCATACATAAACAGGAGATAAATATACCCCGCTATTCACCAGGGGTAAAATAACTGTCAAGAAGTCCATTTGGAGTGGTTTCACCCAGGCTAACATGAAACAAGAGTGGAACAGAAGGACCACAGAGAAAGAGTGAGAGACAAAGTACTTCACAGTAATTGGACCTTTCCTGTGTTTGACTTGGATTTTAGACATGAAAAGAAAAAAAGAAAATCTGTCATATCAAAGAAGTATAACTTTAAGGAATATTTCTGCTGTGTCAGTGGATACAATTAATGATCATGTAACATTTTAACATCGAATTGTACCAGGGGACACCATCCCAGCTCTTGAGGAACAACCCATTGGATCGGTCACAATAGCACTTTCTGGCATCACGGGGCATATGTTTTTCATTTTGATTGAAAAGAGAAGGGTCATGCTCCTTAATGATGAAACATTCTTTTGCCCTCAGCAAAACTATTTGCATACAGCTCTTGTCAGCTCTGCAGAACAGGAATATTGAGCAGAATATTAAAAGGCCTGTTCTAGGAGTTCATTACTGTTTGCCTTCTCCATCAACCAGTTTCTAGGAATTGCACTTAAGAAGGCAATAATAAAATTGTGCTTTGTGATTTTTATGATACATGGGGTTATTTATCGCACTGCTCTTATTTTGTTCTTGCTGTTGGAAACAGCCTCATGTGGCCCCTTCTGTAGCGTAAGAATGCCTGAAAAAATAATGAAGAATTAATTTAAAAGTCAGGCAACATATTTCTATGCCACACACCAAAGCTCAGAAGGCTGACACAGCACCTTATTGTTATTTATTCTTTGTGTTATTATAACATGCTGGAATTCTGTTCACGGACCCAGGTGCCACTGTGCTGCATATTGTAAAATACACATCTCTTGATCCTATCCGCAGATGTACTTTTATTAGCTCCACTTGATACATACATATAAAATTGTGGTAAATCAACAGATGCAAAGCGCACTGAAGACTGATCAAATTATGTGAGGTTCCCAAAGAGGCCATATGAGGCCTATGCAGGGTCAAAGCATCTTACATTTCTGCACCACAGAGCAGAGCAGAACCAAAGCAGAATTAAAAGAAGGTTTCTCAGAGGCACAACTGAACAAGTACAGCCTCAGTAACTCACACAAATCACCTGCTCTGCCTACAGACACACTAAGTAAACACTGGCTTTTGAAAAGAGAGTCATACAAAACAAGGGCAATATATAAAGGGATGTTTTAGCCCTCAGAGTTCACAACACAGGTATGCTTTATGCTAGTACTGAACCGATCTGAACCAAGCTGCTTGACAAGGCAGGCCAGCATACCCTGGGAGAAGAAGGGAAACATCCTTGCAGCAGCATTTTCTACCCTGCTGGTCACCATTTAGAGTTGCAAAAATGTCAGAAAATATTTCCGAGTGACAGATTTTCCAGCAAAATTCAAGTGAGATAGTCTCACATATGGGGAAATTCAGTTTCCCCATTTGGCACTGCAACTTATCACATGCATCAAATGAAGCCAAAGGTAGCATGTACGGTGGTTTTATACTGTTAAATCTCCAATCAAAATCTTTTGAAAGCATAAATGCAACATGAACATCTATTTATTATTTTTATAACATCCAGTTCACCTACTTCAGTGCTTTGGTTACAGAGATAAACTGGAGCCAGCATTTTCACACATACATGAGCACCCCATTATACATCTGTTTACAAGTGCAAATGTGTTCTCCTCAATTGGTGAAGTCATGAAAAAATTATTGAAATCTCAATCTGCAGGCCTAAACTGCTAAGTCCAGCAGTCTAAACTGCCAGTGTAACTCCACAATTGCATGGGGAAAACATCCATTTACAAACACCGCTACATGGAATAAACAGGTGATGTGAAGCAAAACAGCTTCAGTGAGCTATTCAAATCTTTGCTGTAGTGGATGTTCCATCATACACACAACACATCACAATTATATAGACTATGAAGGAAAGCAATCAGCACATGCCTAGTTTTTATGATTACATGACTGGAGTTTTTAACTGCTTTCCCTTGCCTGAAGTTATATTATTCCCCCTGCTGTCTTTTTCTTTCCTTTTAACTCACAGTTCACATGCACCAACTCTGAGGAGCTCGCACAGTGATCCACGTTTGCCTCTATGTAAAAATGTAATTCTTGTTAAGCAAGCACACACCAACCATTAGCATTAATGGAAGTTATATATCCACACACATTAAGGACAGAATGGACCCCTCAGCTGGAAAGGCAATTTCATAAAGAAGCAGTGAAATTTTAGCTAATATCTAGTCAAGCTATTTTCAGAAATGCTTAATTCTAGCTATATTAAAAGCTGTGCATTTTGAGCAGCTAGGAAGCGAAGTATTGTGCCAATGGTCTTAATAGGAGAAAAAGGACTGAAAGCGGTGTGTTCTGATCTTTAAAATCCTAAGAGAACAGTAACACTGAATAGGAGCAAATCAAGTCTAATCAAATTTTCAGTTAATAATTAATATGTATGAAAAGTATCTTTTCTGCTGCTGAATGCAAATGGAAAAAAATAGGACATAACACCTTAAGCATTTTAGGTATTGATTTGAATTAATTTGTTCATACTTGGAGCATAATTACTTTATGCTAATATATTTTTAACATGGTTGTTATATCATAAATACAGCACATTAGACTCTCCTCACTTTCTTCTACTAAATGTGCAATTAAAGCATAATTACTCTGCAGTTGCAGACTTTTTAATTTAAATTGGTGAGTGGCTGCTGTAAATTGACTGTAATTGTACGTGAACTCACTAGTTGTATTTTAAAACAACAATGCATAATTAAATACAACTGTAGTTTTCCGTTTTTTTTTTTTTTTTTTTTTTTTTGTCATTAAACATGTTTAGCTTTTGGGTAGAACACATTTGCCAGTGTAAACCAAAGTGGACAACAGATCAGGGGGTAAATTAGAAAAGATACAGGTTCAAGATTTTTCTGGACTGCCCATCTCTCATTCAAGTGTTGCTGACAAAGGGTAAAAATGTGCTGGCTTGTAAAAACGCCCCAACTGAGGCACATTGCAAAGAAAACCCAGCCAGATACTTTTTCTGAAGTCTTCTTTCCACATAGACAGAGGAAGGAGGCAAAATCAAGTCTACAAAGAATGTCTGAGTGAATGTTCTCTAAACAGTAATGCATCTTTTCTTGATGTCATATACCCAAGCATCAGAGTAGCAGGGCCAAGATTAGGAATAATACATACCTTCTGTTTCTTCAGGATGACAAATATACCACTACATACTTGCTAACTACAAACTAGTTTATATTTGCAAATGAAGCATCTAATTACCTTAATTACTATTTAATGATGTTAGAAGAAAACAAGTAACAATGTACATTATATCGAAATCAGTGTGCGCTGGAATATTTCATAATACAATTTTTACATTACTAATGTTTTGGCTGGCAAGTCTTTAGATATTTCTTTCCATGTTTATGACAGACCATACACAAAATTCATATCAAACTACATGCTTTAGTTTGTAAAGTCCAGTACTTGAAACTTAGGAACTTGCAAATTGAATAGGTGCCCTTGTACAGTAAGCAACAGAACTTAGTAGAGGGGGTGGTGGGGAGAAGCCCATTATTAGGCCAGTGGGATCATGCAAAGGATGTCTTACTGTTAATGCATAGGCAGGCTGCAGGAAATTGTTAACAAATGTTTATTCCCCCACATTTGATTGAGAGGTACGGTGGACCTTCTGTTCCAGGTGTTCACCAAAGTATATAAATAAATACAGGAACAACTTAATGCCAGCCTTTTCTTTTAAATTAGAACTGTTCTGTCAAGCCTACAGGGTTGTGTGCACCATCATAGCCTGAGCATTATCTCAGAAATTCTCACAATACTCAAGAATCTTCAAATCTATCTTCTTTTTTCCTGAGTCAAACATGGTAGAAAGCACTTAAAAAATAATTCAAAAATTCACTGAAATACATGGAATAAGAAAAGACTGTGATATCCATGGTTTGCCTCTCCCATTTTTAAGAGCCTATCAAAAACAATAACAATGTGGGGATTTCTTAAAAAATAAGAAGCATTCTACAAATCTTTTTAATGGACAACCTCAGAAAAGCTAAATACAAGGAATGTTGTAAGATTCCCTTAGATTAATGCTTTATGAAAATGACACATTATGAAAACTCTTAGCAGTGGATTGCTTCTATCTTCCAAGATATGTAGTCAGAGATCTTGTACCAAGACAACCCTATTTGTACATATAAAAGTTATATCAAACTATTAAAAAATACGTAAGCAAAGTAATTCTTCAGCAAACCTTTCCTAATACAGAAGGAAATAGCAGTTGAAGAGGACTATAGTAGTCATACATTGTTTTGGTGCTGAAGGCTATAAGTATTACAATGCAGAACTAGCAGGGACCACATAACCAGCAACAAACATCTGTCAGTGGCTTTTTACCTCTCATGCCCTCTGCAAATGGAGGTCTAGATTGCAAAAGAATATTCTGAACAGATGGAAGAGCACTATTTTTTTTTGGAATTTCAAAATCCATACAGTGTACTTGCCAGGCACTATCATTCATATGTGATTTATGAATGCAAGTGACAGTTTGTATTGCCACTTGTGCATGTTTATGCACCAACACAGATCAACTTGTAAGCTTGGAAGGTATTTGCTCATAAAATATGACTACTTTGTACTTCTCTAATACTTTCTGCCGGTGATTCTCAAAAGTGCTTAGCAAATGTTAACAAAGGCAGGCTCACAACATCGTTAAAGCTTGAGAATTCTGTAATTTGTTTTCTAAAGAAGTACAGAAGCTGAGCAAAGAACTGTTAAGGCCATTTCTGTAATAGCATTCATATGCACTTTATAGTAGCAGGTGTAGATTTGGGTGCTTGTGGTTGATAATTAAGTTTCTGAATGCACAAGAAATCCTTGCAAGGTTTTGGGAGAGGTTAGAGGCATTCAAACATATTTCAAGGATAAGCATGATGCAATACCTACACCAGAAAACAGGCTGCTCTTTCAGTGTCACACACTTTTGACTTAGGCTAGTGATAGAAGACAAAATTGAGTGATTTTGTGAGTAGTTTTAAAAAAGGATATTTAATGATAATTATACAGGGTTGCTTACCTTCAGTGACAGGTATGTACTGCTAGACAAGTTTTTCAAAAGTCTTTAAATGATTCATTCCTGACCCTAAATCTTTGGCCTTACCTAACTTCCAAAAAATAAAAAAGGCTTCAGATCTATATTTACAAAGTGTTAAAAAGTTTCCCAAGCTGAAAGAAGAGAAATTTAGAATTCTAGATCCTCAAGTCTATCCTTTAGTTTTTATTTCTACCTCATGTTATTAACTAAATGAAACATTTCCCAAAACAGTTCAATGATTCAAAACTTTCTGATGCCTTCAATAAAACCAGACTCTAAAGCTTCTAATTCTTCAGTACTTTTATCACACTCTGATTTATCAGAATTATATCTGTGCTAATTCTTGCGCTTAGGAATTTCCAATAAGGAAGAAACATATTGAAAACTCAGTTCACACAATGTGATTTGAGGTATAACTCTGTATATCAAGTCTTAAGGTTGCCAGTGGGAGATTTTTCATGTTAAAGAATGCAGGCCAGTGTTAAAAATAATAAGTAAAAAATAAAAGAGTGTGGAATTTTCCACATGTAATTTAGCTTTCTATTAGCTCTATTTCTGTCAAGCTTCTGTCAAATGGTCTTAAATACAGGTAAAAATAAATAAAAATAAATACTAGTAAAATAGAAAATTTGACAGCATGGCATAACATTTTGTATGTTAAACATGGTCTTAAGATAAACAACATCAACCATATCTTGGATGGTCGGTGGAAACACCCTTTTTCCAACTGTTTCCTGAATTTTGAGAAATCTGTTAAAGGATGCCCAGCTATCAGCCATGACTATAAACATCACCTAAGCAGATATACCAAGAAATACTTCATTTTCAAGGTCATTTCTTCTCTGCAGAGCACCTGATTGCTTTCCTACAATAGAGGATATATTTAAGATCAAAAATTGGGTCTGCCTTTGAAAGGAGAACGAGTGATTAGTGACTTTTAAAGGCTCCCAGAAACACCTGATTGACAAATGGAAGCTGCCCAGCTCCACCAAAATAAGTCACGATTCATGGATATCTGCAGCAAACTAAGTAACTACAACGAAGGTACAACAATTCCTGTTAATACTGTGGAAACCTGTATTTGTACACACCTGCTGCTCTGTGAGTAATAAACCAGGGCTGGAACACATTTTCTGGAGTGGTTTGACTCTTTGTTCCTCAACGAACGTCTGGCCCTTCCTTAGAATCCGACCAAGACTAGGATTCATCACAACTAGTGCTCCAACGTGGAGCCAGTATATTTTGTATGTGTGGAAAAATCAAAAATTGTCATCAGGCACAGCAGAAACCTCCTTTTTCTACTTCTCCATTCGGACTTGAAGAGTTTTACACGTTTGCCTAAGAAACAAACATATGTCAAGTACTACACTGTTACGGAATTAGTTACAGAAAACAAAATGGGGATTGATGGAATTTTGTTGTACTTACAAGGAAAAATACAGAACAACAGGAATAAAATATTTTAGAATCAGAGTACCTTCTCTTTCCAAAAGATCATTGTTTCAAATTTTAAAAAAATCAATCAATAACAGTAATCTCAAGAGAAAAAAATTAAACATATTCAACTTTAACAAACTCATTGATTTGTCACCAGAACCTCATTGAGTCATTGATCTGCCACCAATAACAAATATGATAGATAACACTCATTTTGTCCAAGAATATCAGCAATTTTTAATTATGATAAAACATTCTTTGAAAAGCTCTTTGAAAATAAGTCCATCGATAGACCTGTGGTACAGAAAAAAGGTATAAAGTCAGAATTTATTTTTCTCTAAATGAAAGACTTAATGTGTTCTTTTTATGTATGTTTAAAGTGAAAATACAACAGCAGGATAAAGTTTGAAAAACGGACACATTCTGAGGAGTATATTCTACTTATAATTATTACTAGTGTTAGTAGGTTATGGAAAATACCGTAAAATAACAGATGACACATTTCAAAAGACAATACTGAACTTAAGTAGCCCATTCCTTGTTGAGACATACGGTATGATATTTGGAGTTGCTGATAATGATCATTTTCAAAAGGGCTGCACAGCATATCAAAAGTTTGCCTATTTTATTTTAAACAATGTCTGCAAAAAGATTAATACTTTGATTTTCTTTTACTTTTCTCTAGACCTTTTAACCTTTCATGGCTAGGATGTCATGCTGTAAATCATTAGACATATCTATTACAAGATTAAGCACTGGCTCATAAATTCAATAACTTGTTTTTAAAATGTCTCTGCACATGTAAATACTATAAAACAAATAAATATTTTGATATTATGATTTTGATATACGATTTACATTCATATTTCCTTAACTCAATAGATTACAAAATGAACTTAATTGACATAACTCACTGGCACAATTATCACAGTCTATCTTGATGAAGACATATGAATTATGTCAAGCATAAATCTAATTCATTAGGCTTTCCAATGTACCTCATTATTATTCTTTTCCAAAGGGCAATGTCACTAGGATGCACATTGTTCAGAACAATGCCTAGACTGTCTCAGTGCTTCCATGCCTCAGCAGAGAAACAGTTTATGGCAGAATTGTTTTACCATCATAAAAATTTATCATTTTCAGACAACAGAATTTTAAGCCCCCAAAAAAACACATTAACATAAAACTTATTTTACTTTCTGTAACAGATAATAACTGTAGAAATTCAGACAAGAATATCCTCTTATAGTGTTTATGGTGACCACAGCTCCATACTGGGACTGAAGCAACTCGCCATAAAAGACTGCAAGACAGTTAATCAAATAACTGTAACTTCCTTCACTTTTACAGCACTTCTTCAACTTCAAATGGAAGATAAAAATAGCCTCTTTCCTTTTAACAGATGGATAAATGAAAGCCTTATAAAGAGTTATACTACCTTGTCAACTGTGAGAGAGCAAAAGGAGAAGGGGAAACGGGAGCACAGTCCTTACCTTAAGTCCTTAAGTTAAAAAGTTTAAACCTACTTCACTTATATAAACAAAAGCTTATAGCTATTCTTATTGGAAAGGGAAAGTTCTAACAAGCAATTTCCTATTTCTAGTATTCTAAAAGCAAACAAACAAAATGATAAAAAAAACCCTAGCCTTGTTTTAAAACTAGGTGAAGACTCTAAGTTATCTAATAAATACAATGCATTTTCATCTTTTAATATACTTTTTACAGACACAAGGATAAGACTGAGCTTTCAATTATCCCCAGTAAAAATGAAAATACTTTTTAGAACTATTTTCTTCATCTGCTTATAGTGGGGTATTTTTCTGGAGATTTTGAACAGTCATAAACCATTTGAAAGAGACTGAAAGAGAAACATAAATTATTTCCTTACCTGCAATTTTACCTTCTCTATGAAGGTACCTCCTGCCTTGTTAGTGCAGTACTGATGTGTTTTCTGCCTTTGTCTCAAGCTTCAGAGATTCCTCTGATGATTTTTTCCCCATTTGCTTACCAACTCCCATTGCTGGCATTTTGAGGTAGTGCACCCACATTTGGTTCCAGGAATGCTGTCACAGCTGAGGGAATATAAGAGAACTAAAAAACAAGTTAGAAAACAGCAGAGCAATATCCAGTGAATATCAGTCATCAACTTGAAATGTTTTGGTCACTTTCCGCTCTTTTGATCAATTTAATATCTCCAAATGAAGAAATGCTTTCCCCATGCTTGGAAAAATCCTTGACAAAGAAGTGGGAACTGATGGAGTGCTGGGTACTCACTTAAAAATATATATATTTTAAGATGTCTCCAGCATGAATACCCATCGACTCTAATCCACAGAGGAAACAGATGAAAGGTGGCAGATTTGAAAGATTACAGAAAAAAAATCCCTGTCCTTCAAGTTTTAATAGAAGCAGAGAATGGGAAGCCAGATGATCTTTTACCTAAAAGATGATTTAGAGAAGCAATTAGGAGGATTCCTCATTGCCTAAGGAAAAAAAAAAAACATAAATTCTGACTCACTGTAAAGTAGTTAAGATTATGGTTGTTCATTCCCAACTAATAGTTCTTGTCATCTCAGTCACTGCAGAAAAAGAAGGAAAAACTGGTACTATTTGCTTAAAAAGCAAAACAGAAAATAAATCGGATGATAGCAAATCCACCATCCATGTTTGTAGTTTTAAGTAAGAGATATGAAATTTCACTGTCATCCTTTTGTGTTTTTGAGATACACAATCATAACTTCCTGTAGTGTTCTCGGAAATAGTTGTCATAAACACATCGTTATTTGCTTAACTCCTGAAAATGATAGTGTGATGCCTTTTCCTGGTATCATGCCATTTCCTGAACAACGTTTCCAACCATGATAAACTGATGCAAGACACTATCATCAGTGTTGAACTAAGTATAAACGTCTTCTTGCTTGATTATTATACAGACTTTTATAGGGAAGTTAGAAGTTCCTATAACTCTTCTTCATTGGTAATCATCTTGATATTATTCTGGATTTCGTGGTGTACAGAAAAGACATCCTTTCTGAAAGAAAAATATATATTCTAGAAAGTGTACTAATAATCTGCTTAGATATTTAGTTTAATTTGCATTTTTTAAAGAATATCATCATTCTTCCTCTTACTTGTTTCTTCCTGTCCTCTGACCAGTATGCAACCCAAAGCAAAGCATAATCAAATCAGAGTAGCTAACTGTAAGTAGACTCTGTGTTTCAAAATATGGACAAAGGAAGGAATGGCTAAAGGGGTCTGAAGTCCTTTAAATTTCAGGGGTGTAAGTATCAATGATGTTGTGATTCAAATTGAAGAGACAGAAAAAGAACTCTTGAATAGTAATCTCTTGACAGTTCTCCAAAAGGAAATGGTCTTTAAAAGTAGTAGGTTTCAAATATCACAAGTTGCAATCTCCTGTTCCATTGTTGTACTTTGAAAATGTTGAAGAAAATTATAGATTACTGAAATTAAAATGGTGCCTTGAAGATGATAAATTTGCTGTGCTCTACTTTTCTAATATCACTTCAAAAAGATGACAATGTGTTCAGCACAAAAAGCTTCAATTCAGGGTATTTCAGGAACAAGCTGTTGTTCTGGATGGCAACAGTAATATATATTACTGCATTCTAAAACTGGAAGAAGATATTTGGAACCTCAAAAATTGCAGCTTCATTACAACTCTTTAATCTGCTACTCATACTGAGTTCGTAGATACTGTCCCTTTGAGATCATATGCATGCTGCAGGTCCTACTATACAAGCTTCAGGTTACATCATACAGAGAAACCACAGGGATATTCCATAGTTTTAGCTAGACTCTCCACACTGAAGTTACATGAGACTCCTCATCATAGACTCTTGGAAGGGTCTGGATGACAGTTAGGACTGTTGGATCTTGGAAGACACAATCTTTGGATGTTAACTAGATGATGAAAATTCATGTAATATATACGTTTTTTTGAAGTTGTCTTATATTTGCAGTAGCAGTGCTTTTTCCTAAGGCGAACTTGGTCTTCACCAAGGTATAAACTACAACTTATGGAAGATTGAGGAAGAATGAACACTTTCAGAAGTTTTATGCGAATAGATTTCATCTTGGTCGTCTTCTATTTTTTTTTGCTTCATTTTGAGCAGTTCTTAGACATGACAGGACCACCAGTACATTCACTTTGTTTTTCATGGGAAATATATCTTAAAAACTGATTCCAATTAGTTTGAGAGCTTTCCACTCTTCCAGTGGCGTTTGTGAGTATGACTTTTGTATGTCTTTGTCTTATATAGTCCTTGTGTGACTGAAATTGTATGATTGATACTGATTATTACTCATTTCCTCCCTTACCTCCTAGAAGGCTCAAAAGCACAGAGGAGTCAGAATGGTAGTGCTGAGGTTTTCTATAAACAGGGGTAATGCATAAGGAGATGCCTCAAGAGAACCATGGGATTTGGGAGAATAGAAAATAGTACTTCTTGGCTTGGCGGTGGTCATTTCTCCAGCCCTGCATATCAATTTTACAACTAAGTAATAAAAAAGTTAAATGGATAGTTTGTTTCCTCATTGCAAATACCCATGGAAAGCGGTAGGTAGTAGATAATGTGAGATTTCACAATGCCTAAGTCTCTCTGAGATGAAATGCATCATTGTGTGTCATCTTCGTATATGGTGTATGAGGTAATTAAAGATCACTAGGATTTTCTAGGAAAAATAAAGAGGACTACTGGATAGTCAAACAACTGTTCTATTACAGCAAGAGACTGATAGAAAACGGAGCTGTGAACAAGAGTAGAAACATCTTTGATTTCAGTATCGAGTCTTTTCAACTTATTGGGGAAATGAAGGAGCCTTCAGAACTCATTCTTATTTTCCATCATAGAAGCAGAAAATAACCTCCAGAAATAAGG